GGAGTTCCCTCCAGTCAAATTACTTGGAAGCTGTCTCACATAACTAGGGACACTAGAGATGGTATCTCCTGGGTAAGGGATATACTTCCATCCCCTCATCCCTATTCAAATACAAATATAAATTGAGTCTATCTTCAAACTGCAAACACTCAGGTCTGCAATTGCATAATGCACCATTTTGGGGGCTATTTCTGAATAAATCCTAATACATTGACCTCCAAGACATTTTAGGTTAACTTAATGCCTAGTTGTGTTAGAAACGTCATTTTTCATTGGCTATTTTGCCTGAGTATGAACAGAAGGGTAAAAGCTGGACTTGTTTTTTGCTTAACGGATCCTTTTCTTGTCAAGACTGCTCTTTATTCTAAATGCCCATCTTATCCTACTTTTTGTAAAGGTTCGACTGCCTGTGTGCAGTTCAGACCAGTCTGTCTTAGATCTGAGGCCAAAAAGTCTTAATAAAATCTAGACACAAAATCAGATTCTGACCTCAGGCAAATTTCGGCTGGAAAAAACTCTGGTCCAAAAAAGTTATATTTTTCCCACTCTATTTTGTAGTGCAACTAGAACATCCATATTATTTGGTATCATAAAGCTACATCTGTCTACCTTTCAATTATACCATCCACTTTGTTGTGTTGTACATGACCTTGACACTACAGAGCTCAGAAGTAAGCTACTCCTTTCACATAAATGCAATATCAGGGGTTAATGAGTTAATTAGAATACCTCTGGAATTCAATTGCAAATTCATACATTTGAACTTGCAGTAGAACTTTAAGACTATTCACGATACTGTTAAGTTCTTTTAAAATTCACTTTGTATTCAACGGAAAGACTTTGATGGTTTCATGTACTTAAATTTATTACATACTCAAGTAATAAATACAAGAGCCAAACATAGGATACAAACCTATGAAAACTAGCTTATCAAAGCTTTACCCAGAGATGTCCACAGTTCCTGCAAGCCAGAGTGGGGATACGCAACAAGAGGGTAATATAATTCATTCCAATATTTCCCCAGGGTTTTATCCCAGGCTTTTCTTTGTGACATAATTTTCAGATTTTTCCCTGGCCTTTTTACAAGTGAGCAGTATGTGATGTGAAGCTTGACTCTGTATGCCTTCAGAAGTTATACTAGTACCTTCATCAGGATTTTCCAGTCCACTTCATTTTAGTAGCTTATTCGGTATAGACTTACAAATACATGAAAAATGAGACTGCTATAAGCTAGAGCAAAATAAAAAAAAATTCTTTACTTTTCTGGCATCAAAATTATTTTTGCAGGAAAATTTTTGTCTTGGTACAGCTTGTGTCTCAATAGAATTACAATCTTTTTATAGTTCTTTTTTTATTATGACAACACTGATAAACCCAGTGATAAATTTCTAAACTGAATCTGAATAAATCAGATCTCCACTGTCCTATACGGAGATCTTACAGACACCAACTAAAGTAAACATAGTGATGACCTTTAGATTTTCCATTCCACTTAATTTCTGTAGCTTATCTGTTATAGTGTTACAAATTTGTGTTTGAGTCTTAAGATTTAGTGAATGTGGATATGTGAAAAAGCTTTCCAGTAACTTCTCGTTGGTTGGTGGTTCTTTCCACAGATTTCCTGGTTTCTTCCTCCACCATTAATACTGGCCACCATGTATAGTCTATATTGTGCTGAAAAATGGCATAAAGCCCCACAACAACAACAACATTTTTGTTATATGGAGTTATCATCAGTAAAGATATGTACTAAATGATGTGTGTCACTTTCATAACTTTGAGAGTTGTGATTTGATTGGTGATCTACAAAGTCAACAGAGTATGACCGCTTACTGGTGTCCATTAGATCTCCAAAAAATTAGATTGTGCTAAAATTGTCTTGCTGTGGTCAGATGTAGTAAAAATGCCAAAAATATAATTTACTGCAACAGAATGTCACCCCTATCCAACCACTCTTAAGTTGCCAGTGGAGGTGAATATATGAAAAATATAATTCACTGCAACAGAATGTCACCCAATCCATCCACTCTTAAGTTGCTTATATTTATATAACCTGTCAGTGAAAATATGAAAAATGGTTGGTGGTGAGAGATGTACTGAAGCTAAATGAGAGTGAATTTAGTCATTTTAACTTTAATTCAAGAGCATGTCTGGCATAAATTATAAAGAGAACTTTCTTTCCCAGTGTAAGTACTAGATATGTTTCTTCTGGTGGTAAAAAAATTCCTACATATTTTAACTCGTAGCTCTAAAATGTCTTGGTTTTATGAACCACATTAAATATATATGGTATGAATGAAGGAAATAAAATATTTTCTTTGCACGAGCCAACATTAGTCGGTTTCTGTCTAAACAAATTAGATTTTGCTATTGAAGTTTCTTTTGAATGTTTTTTTTATGTAAAATTTCACCCAGTTGTAATGTGTTGTAAACAATAGTAAGTATATATGAATACTAAACCAAGCAAGTAATATGCTGTACAATGGGACCCAAATGGTCAAGTGGTCCAAGGCCTTCACCTTTACCAGTTAATGACACCTCACCTCTGTGTGGGTTCAAGTTTTCAGCTCAGCCAAGTTGGATGAAATGAATTGATGGTATATAGTATATGCTGAAAAAATTACATTAAATCTCCACCACCACCACTGTCCAAAATTATGCAAAATTTATATTTTGGTTATCAAAATAATTCCAACTGTCCTCATCAATAAAGTTGTTGACTCCAAAGATTTATTACAGTAGTCAAGATACATCCATGTTATTTATTTTAATAGTTTTCTTTGTTCAAGTGTGATTTCACATTTTTAAGTATTTGTTTTCAGTACCATTATTATATCACTATGAAAGTATGTTTGTGTGTCTATATATCTATTCATATATACTTATATATAAAGACACAGACATGTGTCTAATGACTTTATTTTAAAGAGGGTGATACAATTAGTTGCATGAACCAATCTTCCATATAACCCTCTAATTTTTGCATAATTAACTGTACATATATAAAAAAACAAGTTATTTCTAGTCAAAGAATTAAAATTGTGTGTAGAATTCAGTAACAATCTGCTAAATTAGATTTGAACTTAATACACAAAATATAGTATAAGAACATGCACCAAGTAAGTACTCTATGAATAATATACAAAATATAAAAATAGTTACAGTCGAATGAAAGGTTTCTGAATAGATGCTTTTAAGTGGTAATGGACTTGTAAAATCATGCAGATTCTGGTTTTCTAACAAAATGTATTTATATATTTTTTTGCATACAGTGAATTAGATTGAAACACATTTTTATGTTTGCACTTTCTTGGTTTCTTTTGGAATTCTATTCCAATTTAGTGGCCTATAATATTTTAAACATTAAATAGCTGACTGAAAATGATCTTAAATTGGGAGTGTCACCTTGTTATACAAAATAGTTCTCCCAGGATATAATAGAGCCTTGTTGTAATCTTGTGCCAAGGTTAGCCTTTCTCAAACACGTTCTCTTTAAACATGTGATGCCATTCACTGCATTTTCAACATAAACTAAAAAATATCTACAAGCTCTTTTAAATGATGCATATGGAATATGCAAATATTCTTGTTAAATGTGCTTTTAGAAATAACACTACTAATGTCAAGGTGTAAATAACTTGAGGTTTTGAATATCTCAATCAATGTTTGGTATATCACAATCTTGTGTATTTTAACCACTGGCATGAATTGACTTAAAACATAATCTGCATAAATTCATTCCATTACTATGTTTACTTTCATGCCATTTTCCGTACACCTGAAATCTGGTCAAAGTATAGCTATCCAAAGGGACACAGCTAGGTCTGATATTACCCATCTGAGATCTGATACAGTAGATTAAATAAATTTGCCTATTTTCAAAGGTAGGTTATTTATGAAAATATAAAAAGAGTGTATCTAGGATTGATCCCTGTGGTACTCCACATAAAATTGGTTGTTCTTGAAATAAACTGTTGTTAATTTGAAACGATGTCTTCTCTATTTAGTTGGAAGTAAGCCAATTTGTCATGGAGTCATTACATTGATATGTTCATTATTGACAATAATACCAACAAGATCAAAAGCTTTTCTAACATGCAACTAACTTTCTTTAATTGATGGAATTAATTGATTTATCTCATGAAGATGGAAGGTGTCTCAAGTGTGATTTTCTCTGAATCCTGATTGGGTTTGGTGAATTAAGTAAGTTACAGGTTGGTTAAGTACATCAGTAAAATATCATGAATACATTTTTCAAGAAGTATGGACAGAGTTGGCATGATAGATATATATGTGTTATTGTCATTAAATCTTCTATACTGCCTGACCTATTCAGAGGGGGGGTAACTATTGCCCATTTCCATGTCTTGGTACATACTGAGATTGATATGCTTAGATTACATGCGTTATGTTATGCTATCATACATTATGTCTGCAGTCTTAGAACAGGGTCTAACTATTTAGGCATGCTGTTTTCACTGTCTCAGTAGTTTTATAAAAATTAGAACTTTGTTCATGTTTAGAAATTAAACATTTTATGTCTGCTGAATATTTTATACATATAAATTTCTTAATTCATCTGGACTAGGAAATTGTGCAGGATTTCTTAATCTCTCATTGACCAACTACCAGTACTTAGGGAATGCTTTTGATGGAGAACTTCAGTTACTGCATGGAAACTATTCCACATTTTTTCAACCAGAGTGACCCTGACCTTTAACCTTTTTTTTGAGCCCAAAATCGGTAAAATTCCTTTTTACACCAAGTGCAAGATATTGACAAAGTTTGGTAGCCACTTATGTGGAAAATCTGAGTCACTGTGTTAAAATCATTTTTTCTTGTTTTATTCAGTGACCTTGCCTTTGAACTTTTCCATTACACTGTGACTTCCTGTGCAAGCCATCCAGAACGTTGCTCTACAGAAACCAACTCCATAATAAATGGATAAATTCATAACATAAAATGATTTGCTTTATGGGTGGCATACAAACTGAATTAACCACTCAGGTGGCCTAATGGTTAGAGCATCCATCTCGAATGCAGGAGGTTGTGGGTTCAATCCCCGGTCGAGTCATACCAAAGACTTACAAAAATAGTTTTAACAGCTGCCTCGCTTGGCACTCAGTATTAAGATATTAGTTGTTAGGACTGGTTGACCTGGTGTCAGGATAATGTGACTGGGTGGGACATCATGCAACATGTCTGCAGCATGACATCACTAGAAACTGCCACACTCAGACATCGTAGCAATATGACTAAAAAATTGTTAAAGCTACATTAAAACTCCAAATCACACAAACACACAAAAACTGAATTCCTCAGGTTTAAAAAAAATGCATATAATGTACATATTATGAACAAGCTTTTGCTTATCAAAGTATATTTGCTTTCATTACATTCAGTGAAAAAGCTCTTGGAGCCAGTATCATCAATAAGAGCATATATTGCACTTAGAGCTAACGTGACTAAAATGAGAGATAAATATTCTGTTTTGGGAAAAATTGAATAGAATCGGAATCAGTCGATTCATTCAGATAATATTCCAACAGTGAATGATGATGAAAACAACTGACAAATTTGATAGTGTGTTGGAAATGTAAATATGCTGATAGTGAAAACAACTGACAGATTTGATTAGTATGTTGGAAATATAATAATGCTGATGGTGAAAAACAATGGACAGATTTGACTAGTATGTTGGAAATGTAATTTTGCTGATGGAGAAAAACACTAGCATTTTGGAAATGTAATTATACTGATGGTGAAAAACAACTGACAGATATGACTAGTATGTTAGAAGTATCTTAAAACTATTAAATGAATTCCTTTACTTACGCACTGACTGAACTCAATGTTACAGCTTGTACAGAGGTAAAATAAAGCTAAAGTTACTAAAAAAGTTATTAGAATTTACTTTTAAAATTCTTGTCTGGATTAAATGGAATCATTATATGATTAATATACATGACTGTCACAGTCAATCCTTAACTACAATTCTAGGCAAAGTACAAGAAAAGGGCAATATGTTTGAAAAGTAGTTAGAAGAAAGAGATAAAAAATAGTACAAGGGTTCAAACTGTCATTTAAAATGACTTTACCAAGCCTTGGAGCCAAATAATATTTACAAAAATAATTGCTTAACTGTATGAAAATATACAAACTTCTCTTTGATGCAGCAAATAGTTGTGAATGCTTGTTATCTTTACTTGCAATTAGCCTATACATCTCCATTGAGTAATAATTTGCTTGTGACTGGGCTACAAAACTTTTAAGCTTATTTCAAACCTCAAGTTTTCAGTGGGAATCTCAGATTGCATTATAACTACATATGGAAACAATTAAACTGACAGAAAAGTTTATTTTAAAAAAGCAAGAAAATACTGTGCTTAGACTCTTTGAATAGAAAATAAAGTTGATACTGTATTCAGAATGCAGATGCAATGGCCAATTATGTAAAAAGGTGAAGTCAACTTAGGTTCATGGCATATTTGGGGGAAATCACTGGTAACTGGGCAACTGTGTTGCCAGAATCACACCCTGGTACAGAACCTTTGACCCTCGTTTAGTTGAGTCAAGGTCATTAAAATGTGAAGCTTTAGTAGATTAAAAAAAAATTGCAATCACAAGAAAATCTGACAGACTGGCTGCCTGCCTCACCATCCACTATTGACAAGCCTCAACTGTTCTTCAAGGTTCTTATTTCAAAAGAAGATACTGCTTGAGAATTGGCGGTAAAGGAAGTGCATTAATGTTTTGGACAAAGTTTTTCCCTAGAAATTGTATGCTAAAGTATCTCCGTACTTCCATACGACACATCTGTTTCAAGTTCATAGGGCTCTTCGATTTTTCTTCAAGATATTGCAGCAATGTTGAATCAACTTCATTTGATGTGGCATAGGTCCTTTTCACACAACGAATATCAGAGACAGGAATTCCAGCATGCAAAATCAACTTGGTGATTTCGATGTTGCTGTACTTTAGAGCCCAAAATAATGGAGAATGCTGTGTATGGACTTGGTACTTGCAACTTGGACCATCTAAAATACTACCATGTAAAATAAGTGTCTTTATTATAATTGAGCTGACTCGATATAAAAATGCAGTTATTAATGGAGTGTTATGGTAATGGTCTGGTTTGTTAACACTAGCACCTTTGAGAATCAAGTATTCAACTAAATCCTGCATTTGATGACGACAGGCAAACCATATTGCTGTACGTCCTAAATTGTCAGTTACATCAATGTCAGCACCTGCATTAACTAGACTGACAACACCTTCAAAAAAATGCATTCTACTTGCTGTAATGATTGGAGGTTCAATCCTTTTTAAATTATCTTCACTGGATTTGTTCAAATCAAATTTTCTACCCCTCTCATGATGTTTCATTAACAAGCTAAAGATGTGAAAATGACGTTTGTACAATGACAGCGACAAAACGGTCGCACCTTTGACAGATATGTTTACATCTACATCGGGATGTGATATAAGAATATTCCGTACGTCTTCAGAATATCCTGATAAAACTGCCATGTACAGATCCAATGCAAGCTGTGATAAAGTGTGATCATTTACTGCTCTGAAAGTGGTGGCAGGCAATAATTTTCCCCTTGAACCACTTCCATAATTACTTGCGAACGATGCTGACATTACGATGAAGTGAAATGCGAGTTGCAACTAATGCAAAGGTTTCAATCTTCCTTACAAAATATAGAGATGTCATCTCAAGTACCAAAATGTTATTGTGTTATTCATTTGTCTCTAAGAATCAAGTCGATATAACCTATATGACTCTGACTAAAGTTAAGTTTAACCAGGCATTTAAGTTCATAATATATCAGTATCAACTTCGTTCAGTGATAGCCATATATATCACAGTCGTCCAAAACTTTTGTAACATTTGATCACATTGTTCATTGTTTGAATGTCAAAGGTCACTTCACAGGAAGATGTGGCCACATGAGTCTGACGTTTTATCAATAACTACTATGAAATCTCTGACATAAGGAAATCACCTTATGGGTATTGGACCGCAACTTGGAATAGGCCATTTCTTGAGAAATTGCGAGCAACAACTTGGAATTCCAAATTATTGCGCTCTTTCTCGAGAAATTGCAAGGTTGTGGGCTCCTATTTGGAATAGATATTTTATCGAAAAATTGCGCGCAACAACTTGGAATTCCAAGTTAATCGGTAGTTTTCAAAAAGTTATATATTTCTTTATAATCTTAATATTTATTTAATCTTATCTTTAATTTTCATTGCATTTTTTGAAAAAAATAATTGTACTTAAAATATGTTTCCAAAACATATTTGTATTTTGATAATATGTTTGAAAAATATTTGTACTTGAAATCTCTGTAAAAAAAAGTTTCAATATTATTTTTTTTATAAATCTTGATTGATTGATGAATTACTTATTGATTGATTTATTTAGTCACTAATATTATTATTTTTTAAAAAATTCTATTTGCAATTAGTTTTATTTAAATTGCTTGATAAGACTGAATCAAAACAGAACTATTTGCAAAATGGATAGTCATGAGGAAACTTTTTATCTGCTGTTAGGAAAATATTTCACAGTAATAAAGGTTACACCTATCTGTCTTGGGGCAATTTTCTGACTTTAGTCCTTAAAGAATATCTGGAATGTTGGAAAGATCTAATTGGACCATTGCAAAGTTTCACCAATATGAAACCTACACAAACTGTTGTCTGATGTTCTAAAAAAAAGTCTTTTCATGAAACATATTTCTGGAGTTTATTAAAGATCTAAAGGAATTGTCACTATCCCACAAAGAGATGCATTTCACATGAAAATATTTTATGAACTTGTTGCATGATGCTTGCATGCAACATTTTGGAATTTAGTCCTGGAAAAATTATTTTAAAGGTAGGAAATGTCTTGAGGAAAGATGTAGCACAAAATTAATATTTAGAACATATTATTTAAAATCATACTGTAAAGATAGGAAAATTCTTCAAGGTAGTTGTTGCAGAAAAATAATATCTTTAAGATATTAAAGGTCTATTGGTGATGTTGCTTTTACCCTTTAGAGTTATATTTTTTATGGAGATTATTCTAAGTTGCTGCATGCCAGATTTTGGAATTTAGTCATAGAAAGACTGAAATGTAGGAAAGGTCCTGAAGGGAGTTTTTGCATAAAATGAATATTTGGAAGATATTAAACATCTCAAGGGACTGTTACTGTCACCAAGTAGGGTAATATTTCACAGTTATGGGGGTATTCCAAATTGTTGTATGATTTTTGCATGCCATTTTGAGGAATTTGGAAAGGTCTAGGATTAGTAGAGATAATAAAGTATCAATGTATACATACCAAGAAATTTAAATAGAAATATATGTTTTTAGGTATCTGCCTTACATTATTTTTCCCTTATTGGGAATTCAGTTATGCAAAAGAAAGTGATTCTGAGTCAGGTCAGTGAGGCGAAACCATTCAGAAATCCCCCAGGTATTCCTTTGAATCCAGGTCTCCTTCAACTGCTACTATCTAATTAACACTCTGTATTAGACTAAAAGTAAAAATTATATCTTAGACTAAAATTATAAAACAATTATGTTGCATTAAATTAAAAATTCAAAAGTAAATATAAATTAGATTTGACTGAAAAAACAAATTCTGTATTGACTAAATATGAATATGCTATATGACAAAATTACAGGTTCTAAATAGATTAAAACTCAAAATTTGTTAGACTAATATTAAAACTTTATATTAGAATAAACTTAGAAATTATATATAAGACTAAAATTGAAATATGTATAATAAACAAGATTAGAAATCTATATTAGACTTTAAAATTGTCTATTAAACCAAAATTAAAAATTCTTTATTATACTAAATTTATGAATGTTTTTAGAATAAAATGAAAAATATACATTAGACTAGATTTAAGAATTCTATATTAGACTGAAATAAAAATTATGTATTAGGCTGCATCAAAAGTTCTGTATTAGACTAAATTAAAAATTATATATTAGACTAAAATTAAAAACCCTATATTAGACTTTAATAGAGCATCCAATATTTTACTAAGACAAAAGAATATTCT